CTGAGGACCAAGCGCCAGGCTTGCGCCACTGTCTGCGATGGGACTGGCAAGGCCGGGCCCACACCAAACCCAGACACCCTGACCAGTGCAGACTAGGAGGAACCTTCTTTTCTGTGTTTCACCTAAGACTTGTGTTCTCCTTTCCACATGGCTTGCTATCTAGCAGGAAAAAAAATTCAGAGCACAAATGCCCCGAGAGCAATATGCATGATAAACAGCCATGTAGGAAGAGACTTTAAAGATGCGCAATCACTGTACACTCTGTATGGACGCAAACGGCAATGGTGGAAATCACCACTGCTAATGTGGACACCAGGCCTAATTTATGGGGTGGACAGAATTATATCTCTACATAAAAGCAAACTGTAAAGGAAAAAAGCAAACTGACAGGCTTCCCACCAGGCCCTGCCACCCACATACACAGTGAACCATTAGGCCCCTAGTACCTAACTAAAGACCCTTAAAACAAAGAATGACTTCTGTTAGTTACGGCTTCCCTACTGAAGACATGGGACCAAAACAGATTCACCCTCACTCTATTACTCTGGCTGGCTGCCTGCTGCTCGAATTCAATCCCATCTTTCCCAGCAGGCTCCATGTCCCGCTGAAAACTTCAAGAGACATGAACAACTGAAAGTAACAGCTCGAAAGTCCCCCTGCTAGCCCTGGGGCCAATGGCAAATCCAAATGGACCAGCAATTCTAATGAGATTTTTTTTAGGGCTCAGCGCAGATATACAGACAACCCTGCCCTTTGGATTAGCTACATATACCACTCAGTAAATTTTCATAGTGCCCTGGTATGACATATTGGCAAGATAAATGGCTCTAACGTTGCAAAGCTCTACAGATAATGACAACATATAATCAAGGTTGCCTTCCCCTTGCCTTCGTCCCTCCCTCCCTCCCTCCTAACACAGGGTCCAGGCTGGCCTTGATCTCACTGTGTAACCCAGACTGGCCTCAAACTTGTGTTGACCCTCCTGCCTGAGCCTCCCAAGTGTTAAGATTACAGGTGTATGTCATCACACTTGGCAATCCAGGTTTTTGTCTGTTTTTTGTGGTACTGGGGGCCCTGCGCTTGCCAGGCAAGTGCTTATTCTACTGAGCTATCTCCCCAGCCCAAGGTTTCTTTACATTGTCTGTGGTGTCGCAGAAAGATGGAACTTGGCAGCTACAGCCCCAAGTTCTAGAGCACCTTTCTATATACAGACTGGGGCCGGATCTTGGGCTATTTATTTCTAACAATTCCACTGACAGGAGGAAGAGCAGCAGCAGCAGTGCAACTATCTGAATTACTACAGCACGCTTTACAGAACCACTGTGTGGATTTAACTTTACATTGCAATACAGATATAGATGCAAAAGTAAGTGTTCTGGGCTGGGGAGATAGCTCTGTGGTGTAAGCATCTGCCTGGCAAGTGCAGGAACCTGGGTTTGAACCCCAGTACCGCAAGCTGCGCCAGCAGAACCCCAGGCGCTCCTTGCCAGCCACTAAAACCAGGCATACTGGCACATGCTTGTAATCCCAGTGCTGGAGAGGCTGAGACAGGAGGGTCACTGAGTCTGAGCTGTGTAGTAAGACCCTGTACCAAGTAAATAAATAAAGTATTTTTTTAAAAAGTGAGTGTTCTTTATGATGTTTATATTAGAAATATAGGAAACAAAGGACAAATAGAGTTTGGGTCTCACATTCAAAGTTTTGCTTTTGTTTTTTCTAGGTTAGGATGCTCTACCCTTGGTTAAGATCCAATTCAATCGATATTGATTTCTCTTTAACAACAAAAAGGCTTAGGACTCAAAGACAGATAATCCAATCTAGAACATAGAGATGCTCCAATCAAAGGAGACTGGAAGGGTCCAGTCAGTGGATAGCTCAGGGGATTAAAGCACCCGCTTAGGCAGGCGCAGAGGCCAGCCTGTGGTGCCAGTGACAGCACGCTGAAATGATTGAGACTGGGCATGAGGGCGTGCGCCTGTAATCCCAGCACTTCGGAGGCTGAAAAACAGGAGGATCACTAGGAGTCCGATGTGTATAGTGAGACCCTGTACTAAATACATTAAAATAAGTAAAATTTAAAGAGAGAGCGAGAGCGTGAGAGAGCGAGAGCGTGAGAGAGCGAGAGAGAGCGAACGAGAGAGAGACTAGAACATGAATGAACAGACTCAATCAAAGGCTTTCCCTTCTAAGAATCTGAGCTAAACTCCCTAAAACTCACATGGCGAAATCAGCATTTCCCAACTGTTTGCGCAACATCACCACCTTAATTAGTGCAATCGAGATCAACAATGAGTCCATTTCCTCTGGTTCTGATACTACCTTTTAAAACAAAATTGCCACATGTAGTAACAATGCAAGCCTGAGAGACTAAGGCTTCCTGTAGACTAACTGCACCTCTCAAACTGCTGCAGACAGAGGATGATGACATGCAAACAGGACACAGGACAGGGGGTCGGCAATTACAAAGGCATTTTGTCAATTCTCAGACTGGGCTTTGCTACTGGCTGCATCAAATCTAGTTCCCCTAGACTGCTGCCCTCCCTGGGTGACGGCCGGAGCTGAGAGCAGCTCCTCCTGCTCCCATCCCCGCAGTCACCTCCAGCTGCTCTGGCCTCCTGTTCCCTCCACCGGCCCAGGGAGGCTCGCGGTCCCCACCTCAGGAACACCGGTCCACCTGCCTTCCCCTGCCAGGCAGTCACTCATCAGCAGAGGGGTGCGCAGTCTTGGCTTTACTTCCTTCGACTCAACTCAAATGCCACCCTGCCCGTGAGACTGCTCCTGTCTGCTCTAATTAAAAGTGGAATCTTTCCTTCCTAGTTTAATTTTTCTTCATACCTCTTATCTGACAGTGAATGGATATATACATATGTATAATATATGTAAATTAAGTATATGTAAATATATATTAAATACATATGTTTATTTTTTCTCCTTTAATTTGTTTGTTTTCTCCCTTCTTTGTGGTGTTACGAATTGAACCCTGGGTCTTTACGCTGCACTATATCCTGAGCACTTTCATTATTTTTTGATAGGATCTCGTTAGGTTGCCCAGACTAGGCTTGAAATTATGAACCTCCAATCGCAGTCTCACGGATATGTGCCATGATGCCTGCTTATTTTTGTTTAGCTCATTTCCTATTATTCCTTTATTGGTGAGACTGCTCTTCCCCTCCCTCCCAACTGCTGCATTTCTAGTACCCAGGACAGCGTGGGGCAGACCTGAGGAATCGCTACAGTGAAAGGGCCACAACACACGGAACTACTCCATTTGTAAGGATACCAAATTCAAGCCTTCAGCTTTCTTCAAACAAGGCAACAACGGATTTAGGATAATGAGATTAGAAGTACTTACGGATGAATGTTATGGCAGCGGAAAGCAGGCTGGAGGAGGAGGCGGCGGCCCAGCTGTGGCCCGTGACCTCACTCTCCGTGTTCGCAAACTTAAGAATGCTTAAAACTCATCTGACTGTTAGTCATAGATACAGATGCCCCACTGGCTCCAGGAAGCTCAACTGGTAGTCGTTCCAATGTGGGTGGTCCATGGCTCCCCCCTGGAGACGCACCACTGTGGCGCCACTCCTGGTTAGATGCGAGCCTAGGGCGGGGTAGCTGTGTCTCATGAAGTGATATAAACTGATACTGTGGCTGTCAAGGCTCAGATAAGCACAAGACAATCTTTTGTATGTGTGTACTCTGACTAAAAGAGTCTCCTCGTCATAAAAATTTCTTGTGGTACTTGAATGTTACTCCAGGTAAGTAGTTGGTTCAAGGTGATTAAATCAAGTCCACACCAAGTAGGCTTAATCTGAGGCAAAGTCTGGTTTTGCAATAGCAGGTATTCGCAAGGACATTTTTCATAAAGCTCAGACCTACCCCATTCTTTAGCCACGTGTGAAGCCACACCTTAGATAAAGCACAAGGCATATGACTTAACCAACTGAAACAAAATAAATCATGCTAGTTCCAAATCTGACCCTGGGTAAACACACCCCAGGACCCCCACCACACCAGCAGGGAAGCCACTCCAAGTACATACTCTTGCTAACTAAATAGCTGCTTCTTTTTGCTATCTATTTTTAAAAATTATTATGACTTGGTGTGTGGTTCTAGGGATCAAACCAAGGGTTTTGCATGTGCTAAGCAGGCACTTGGCTACTGAGCTACACCCTCCAGCCCAAAATAGCTGTTTCCTTAAATAGTGGGTCACTCAAAAAATAATCAGTGTTTCCCACTTCGCCACTTACTTCACTAAAGGGTTAGGGTAGCCAGCAGCACACTGTGTCAAGGACGGAACTAACTGTATGAAAAGAAGCTTTCTCTAAATTCCAAGGAATGACATTAAGTCGCTAACTTTTACTCAGTTTTTTGAATGTGGAAACAGCTGGTGCCCAACCTCTATGGACAGTACTAGCGGGAGAAGGCTACCAGTTGCGGGGGTGAGGGAGAGGGAGCGGTTCTGTCTTTCCTTCTACTTCAAATGAACATGTCTCTTTACTCAAATATTTTGTTTCAAAGCTTCAAGTGCTCTCTACACACCTTGGAAAGAACGGCCAGCCAGGGCTGGAATGTCATTGATGCCCACATGGGTTTGTGGGCAGGCCTGGAAGCCTTTTTTCACAGTAAGTACTAAACTCTGAACTCCACAAAGAAGAAATTCTCACGGCAATCTAGGAAATCATTGACCTTGGGAATCTGCAGTGAGATGCCAACCTAACGCCATGCTACAGTGTGTAGCTACAACATCTCGATTAATACAGTATAGACACCAATGGTGGAAAAGCACTCCTGCCCATGTCTTACAAAGAGCTCATTCCATCTGACGTTTCTGCCATGGAGAAATGAAAGAAGCTACGTGATGATCTTCCAAAGAATCAAAAAAATAAGGGAATCATTCCATCTGCATATCTCTGACTTTCTTTCTTTCCAGACAGGTAAGTGTCCTAAGCTCCATAAAGAGTTGCAAACCAGCGGGGGCCAAGTGGCTTCCTCCATAAACTCACCTTCTCTCCTTGGAGTGATGGGACTGAGTCCCGCAAACTGTGAAAGCTGTCTTTGATGTGGTCCCTACGTTTTCGTTCCAGTGCATTATGATGAGCCCGTTTGTCAGCCTAGAAGAACAGGAGAAAGAGTCCATTAGGAACGTCACTACTGGGGCCTGGAAAAAGGCAGGTGGGGTACAGCCTGGAAGGATATGCTGTCAGCGCTGTTCCTGCTGAGTGCACTGGGAGGACTGTCGAGCTAGGAGTCTCCAGAATTAGGCTCTGCTAAAGAGGTAGAAAGGGGTGAGCAAGGCTTGCAACAGGAACATCCAAAGCAGCTCGATGCATCCAGTTCATGCATAAGTAAAACCAAAAGTTATTCATGAGGGCAAAGTGCGACTCTCCTGCAACATCAGTGGCCCCAACTTAATTATGTAACAGCCGCCAGTCCATGGCTGGGAGGTGATTAGAAATAGCTCTAGTGAGCCTCTTCCTAAGGTGTGATCACCCCCACTGCAAGAGATCTGGAGGCACGGGAGGGGTCGAGTCACTAGTACAGTGCTGCTCTCCATGTAAAACCCGCGGCTGGTGGACTTGTCTCCAAGCCTGCTAAAAGGCACTAATTTCATCCTTGCATCAAATCATAGAAAAGAAACTGAAACCTCTGGAAAACCCAGTTGCAGGAATCTGAGATCATTATGACAGTTCTGACAGAGATGCTAAGTGCATTCAGAGCTCCTGCTTTGTAAAGCAGATCCAAGATGCTACTCCGCCAAGAGCTTTCCTCCACATGCGGAGCCAGGAAGGTACTTCAGATGGGGCCTCCAGACACCCACGCACTCTGGCTCTATCTCCTCAGGTACTGCTGCATACCAGGCTAAGTTGCCAGTTTTTAAACACCCCAAGCAGTTAGTGTCACAAGGAGCAGCCAACCTAAGACTGTGAAGACAGCCAACAAGGCAGGGTCGGCTCTGCGGCACTTCCAGAGAACACAGCCGGGCAGCACCACAGGGAGCTTCTGCCGCCCCACTGAAGGACGTTCGCCAAATGCAACACAAACCCAAAGCAACAACTGCACCACACTCGCACTCTGGGAGCTATGGAAAATTAGCCAACAGTTTCTCTGGAACACACCAGGCTACAGTGAGCCAGCGTCAAGAGTTACGTCTTGGGCCGGAGAGATGGCTCAGTAGAATAAGCGGCTTCCCTGGCAAGCGCAAGGGCCTGAGTTCAATTCCCGGTTCCGCCAAAAAAAAAAAAAAAAGTTACATCTGTATGTGACAGAGCGAGGTGGCTTTAATCAATCCACCCAGACATAGGACCAGGAATCTTAAAAAATGAAGCAAATGAGAGCAAATAACTTGGTGTAGCACAAAAATAACACTGCCTCCACTGAATTCTTATATACTCAACAAGGTACAGGCAAAAATCTAAAAGGACAGAGTTGTGAGAATGAGAAAATTTGACATTCCCACATCTAATCCTCAAAGTCCAAGTCATTCCAGAGAAGGGGAGGCAGGAACAGCTGTGGTCACATCGTCACATGCATCCCCTACAGCTTTGCTAAGCTGGCCTGCGATCCCCTCAAGGCCACGATCCTCCACAGCAGGGCACTTTCTGGGGAAATGAAGCTTGGATACTTCTCAAACTGTCTTGCCTCAAGTCTGAATTCACTATACAAGGAGTATTTTGTGAACTATATTAATGTGGACTAGTATGAGGAAAGGCGTGGGGGCAGGATACCAAGCCTGGGACTAACCACCAACGGTTTAAGTACGACCATCCCATCGGGCAGTTTGCACCCCTGCTTGTACAAATGCATCTAATCACTTGTTTGTATCACTAATACAATTAATAAAAAGCCATCTGATGGGACAGTCATTCATGCAGGACCAGTGTTTCAAGCTACCTGGCGTGAGAATCACAGCCCCGTTGTGAACACGTTAAAGGTATCACTATAATGCAGAGGAAAAAAAACAAAAAAAACACCTGGGGCCGGGGAATATAGCTCAGTACATGAGTTCAATCCCCAGTTCTGAAAAACAACAAAACACCTAAAAAAACAAAACAAAACACCTAACAATGCTTCCTAATAGTAGAATAAAATACCTTTAAGATATTGAATGTATTCTCAGCAGCTACTCCTTTTCTAACCTACTGCTCCCTGTTGTCATCTACACAATGGTATGCAGGGTGGGGACTGCACCTAAGGAGCTTGGAAGGCCAATGGCTGACCCTTGGCCTGTATCTGCCTGTTCAGTGTCAGCTGTGTACGGTCCAACGTGGTCTACTTCTATGCAAATTAATCACCCGGCTATGGTCTTCAGGAGCAGCCCAGGATACTCCTGACTACTAAATCACCCAGATTCCTGGCCCTCCGCCCAGCTTAAGAGCTGTGCACGGAAGCAGTGACACCACAGTCACCCACAACTCCTCCCACTGATACAAATAATTTTTTTTTCTTTAACCTGAGGGAGCCCTGCAAATCTCAAATGGCTAGAATCAAGTTGGACTTGGTTTCATGCAGGCCTGCCCTGTAGGCAGGGAGCTGAGTATAATCTAACACCAAAACATCCGCACAATGCACCAGCCCCCTCCCATTCAGGAGTCTGAAAGGACTCAAATGCACAAGTCCTTCGGTTAGAGGATCGTGAGTGATCTTGGCTGCAGACCATCAGCAGAAATCTTGGCTTCTCATCTGGGGAGGCGGCCAAGCCTGAGAAGTTGGCTCAACAAGGAGAGGCAGCAGTGCACTGCCTGGTAGAGCGCCGGGACTGGGGCCTGTTGTTTTCAAGTAGTGGATGGAATTTCTGCAGTAGTTCCAAGCCCAATTTAACTAGCAGAAGAGTGGAACCTTAGACCAATCCCTGCTGCCATGTCCACCCGAGCTGCTACACCTAACTGGAGTCCATTTTAAAGTCCTGGAAATAATGGCATGGATGTCTTTTTTTTGGGTCTCAAGCCTCCTCTGTAACAGCAAATCAAAAATATGCACAACTAACATGACTAACTCCAGGCAACTCTGAATTAACAGCTAGGGGCTTGAACAAGCACACAAAAGACTGGGAAAACTTTTATACAAGACTAAGAGTTCTCTTTGGGAAATATTTCCAAACCACACATCCATCCTGTCTAACCCCCTCTCCCAAACAGCCAAAGGCCCAGCTGGCAGGCTTATCACGACCCTACCAACTGCCTTCATTTGCTGGCAACCCTGTCCCAAAACCCCAAGTGCTCAGAGGTAAGAAAACCTGGGTGGAGACAACCATATAAAATATTTAAGGTCCTCCCACAGACTCAGAGGAGGTTTTTTTAGAGCCAAACAATTGGCTCTTGAACATATAAAACTCGACTCAAATAAGCAAGCTTTCTCTTACCTGTACTGGGAAGGATATATCTGCTAATGAACTCGATGAAAGGTATTAGGCCCAGTTCTAGGAGACAACAGGTCTTCTTGGGCTGTTCAGCAGGCCCAAGCAGCTCCCCTACAAGTCCTCTAGGAGCAGTGGCTGGAGGCTGCTTGCTCTTCAAGTACAATGAATTTGCAGCTTCTGCCCAAGACCCCTTCCGTTAGGGCATTGGTGGTGAACCCATGGCACGCATACCAGAGGGCTGTTTATGTCATCGAAAGTTCTAAAAAGGTTTTAGGGCATCCCAGGGTAACAGAAAAATGAAGGAGCTGGCTGGGTGTGGTGGAGAATGGCTGCCGCCGCTGAGGCAGGACAACTGCTGGGTGTTTGAAGCCAGCCTGGGCAAAGCTGGACTACATGGCAAGGTCACCTCAAAAAAGCCCCCACCTACCCAGAACAGGCACATCAGAAACACTAAGCAATACCGAAGAGTAGCTTACAAATGCTTCCTAGGAACTATGGCACAGTGGCTTCTAGCTTTGACATCTCTGCCAAGTTTTTTTCACTTGGCCTGTTTTAGTTCTACCAAACATTCCACACTGGCAGCAAAATAAAAACTTTCACTTATAATCTGTCCATCTCCAACACTTTACAAGTATATGTTAAGTGTGGGTATATGAAGGCAAATATTATTTTGTTGTCCAATAAGTTATTAAACTGGCAACAGGCCACTGAAGCTAGAGAGGTCTGTTCAGAATTGAAGGAAATCTCTTAAAATCATTTCCTTTCAAATTCATGGCACAGGGGGCTGGTGAGATGGCTCAGTGGTCTAAAGCACCTACTTAGAACAAGCTAAGCAAAAATGCAGCGACCGCGGTTCAATCCCCAGCACCACATGCCAGCCAGCCCCGCCCCCTGGTGTGCTGAGCTGGCCACACACACACACACACACACTAAATAAATTAATTAATTAATTAAAAAAAAAACAAAAAAAAAACCAAATTCATGGCACAGAAAAATGCATTTCTGTTCAAGGTATTACTTGTCCCCAGTCTTATTTTCCGCAAATTGTAGGTAAACAGCGTGGGGAAATAAAATGTTTCATTATTCAACAACGCGCATGCTTGCAGGCTATTAATCCCTCTTACGTGGGGGAGCTTCTCACATCCAATACAGAAAACCTACAGCACACAGGAACCTGTGGTGCTCACTAAATATTTACAACCCTGAAGAAGTTAAATAGTTGAGCTGGGTATGGTGGCGCACGCCTGTAATCTCAGCACTCACTGGGGAGGCTGAGGCAAGAGGAATACTGTGAGTTCCGAGACCAGTCTAGGGTACACAGTGAGCTCAAGGCCAGCCTGGACTGCATAATGAGACTGTTTCAAAAAGACAAAAAAAAAAGATACTGTAATGTGTTCATTATTAAGCTACTTTTTTAATTTTATTTTTTGGTGATTCCAGGGATCAAACTCAGGACCTTGAGCTTGCCAGGCAAGCACTTATTCCACTGAGCTATCTCCCTGGCCCCTATTAAGTAAGCTACTTTCGATGAACACTAAGGTCACCAAAAATACAAAAGCTCAAAGTTCCCATCTAAAAATATGTGTTTATTATTTCTGATAAGAAACAGGTACAGGGGCTGGTGAGATGGCTCAGTGGTCTAAAGCACCTACTTAGAACAAGCTTAGTGAAGCCCAAAGCCCAGGGACCACGGTTCAATCCCCCAGCACCACATGCCAGCCAGCCCGCCCCCTGGTGGGCTGAGCTGGCCACACACACAAAATAAATAAATAAATAAAATTAAAAAAAAAAAAAAAGAAAAGAAACAGGTACAATAAATAAAACTGAAGTGCTAAACAACTTAAAACATTCACTTTAAAAATCAACCCAAGGGCGGGGAGATAGCTCAACTGCATAAGCACTTGCTGGGCAAGCACAAGATCCTAAGTTCGATCCCTGATCCCTGGTACAAAACAAACAAACAAAAAAAAACACCATAAAATAATGGCCAACTGGAACGGACTAACTCCTTAAAATCCCCAACAGGAGATAATTTCAATTTCCCAGCATCTGTCCTGCTTCAAGCCTGGTATACATTTCTGTACTCTAACGAAGACATTTGTTTCTGAGGTTTTCTCTATCTTTCAGTGCCAAGAACAATGTGGAAAGCAACATTATTATCTAAATATGACATCACAGCCACTTGAAAGGAGGGTACCCTGATCAGAAAATTTAACCTGAACTACCATCTGCTTCGCCAATTAGCTCCTGCGCCATTACTGGCATCTTTAAGACTTTTAAATATAGGAACAGCTTTTGCTCATACAAGCACATTCAGGGACTAAACCTGACATTGTTATCACTGTCAAGACTCTAAACAGGGACCGAGTACATGCCCTGGCTGTGTACAACCGATTCCAGCTAAAACAGACCGTAATTTCCTGAGTATAGTAAATTCCAATTTCAGAGGCAAACAAGTTCACTGTGATTTCTTAAAAAGCAAAGAGCTCTGAAAAGTTAAAAACACTTCCTACCAGAAAGGTCCAGAAGTGAGCGCACAAATCTGCTTGCACCATGTCCAGCTGACATGAAGGACGACACAAGAGAACAGCATAGCTCCAATCCCTCATTTCTCACCCTTTCACTCTTTCCCTCAGAAAAGGAAAAGGTACCCTGGCACAAAATATCTGGCCCAGGAATTTATCATTAAAATTCAACCTTTTTCCTTCAAAAAAACAATAAGCTAACAAGAGTAGGATTCTGCCATGTACTGAATTTAGTAATACAGATCGGGGTGTCTTTCTTTACTACAGCTCACTGGTCACTGAAGAAACTGTTTTCCATTTGTACTGAGGCAACAGGAACATTCGTCAAATCAGTTTCACTTTCTGTTAACAGCTAGCCTCACTTCCCAATTCTGCTTCTGCTGAGCGCACTGCATTTTTAATGCAGCAAGGCCTAGATATTGTTGTGACATCATAAAACATGAATGAATGTCTTTTTCTATTAGAACTCACAAAACGTTTCCTAAGTAACTTTTAAAAAGTTCTTCTGTAGCCCTATATATATGGCAGGTCATTCTCCGTATCTTTTCCTGAATATTTTTCCCCCAAGCAAAATAACATGAGTTTCTCATCAAAATTTAAAAGATCCCCCTGGGCTGGGGCTCAGTGGTACAGAGCTCTTGCCTTGCATGCACAAGGTCCCAGGTTTGATCCTCAGCATCACAAAACAAAAAGCCCAGCTGTGGTGGCATGGTGGCAGGCACATGCCCATAATCCTACCACTCTGGCAGGTCTGAGGCAGGAGGATGACAAGCATGAGCCTAGCCTGGACAATTCAGAGTCTTAGTAAGACCTGCCTGGAAAAAAAAGAGGGCTGGGGATATAGCTCAGTGTGAAGATCCTCCTAGATTTAGTTCCAATACTGTGAAGGGAGGAAAAAACAAGCATTTCCTATTCTAAATCTCAGGAAAAAAAAAGAAAACAAAGAATCCTTTTTAGCCTACCCACTCATAATAGCTGTTTGACATATTGTAAAGTTGTCTACAATACTTATGGTAAAAATTGTCTACAACACATCTTGTGAGAAAAAAGTAACTCTCAATAAGGAAATGTATCAAATTAAAGTCTTGAGGCCCTAGCATCAGAAACTAAACAAAACAACAGAGTCAAACCTTTTCTTGTCTACTTCCCAAAATTAAAGGAAAAAAAAAATCCAAGGCCTCATAATACCAAACCAGACACATCTATCAACATATGGGTGAATATGAATATATATATATATTTTTTTTTAATTTTTTTTTTTTTCCTTTTTTGAGGCAGTCTTGCTACATAGTCTAGGTGGCAATCTCGGCCTCCTGAGTGCTAGAAGTACAGGTGTGAGTACCATGCTTGCCTCACTGGATGAATATTTTGAAAAAGCAGAAAGCTTTTAAGAACTGTGAGCCAAGTGGATACAGTGGCACAATCCTGTTATCCCATCATTCAAGAGACTAAGGCAGGGGCTGGAGAGATGGCTCAGTGGTCTAAAGCACCTACTTAAAAAAACAAGCTTGGCAAAGCACAGGGACTGCGGTTCGATCCCCAGCACCACATGCCAGCCAGACCCGCCCCCTGGTGGGCTGAGCTGGCCACACACACACACA